TTTCTCACAATGTTTTGGGAACTGTGAGCCTTGATAGACCAAAAAAAAAAAAAAAAAAAGTTCATTGAAGTTCTTTTTTTAGGGAGGATCGAAACTTTTAAAGTTAACAGGCTGTTGAATATATTATTTCTTTGGAATTTCCAAGAAACCTAAAATTAAATGCATAAATCTTGTGGCATCTTAGAAACACTTAAAGGATCTCCTTTTCATAGCAGGAAGAGCTTGTTTAGGCTATGGGCTACTTCACCAATGTAGCTAATTCATGAATAGATGAAGCATATCAAGAACCTGGTTGGATTAGATCAAAAGTCTATCCAGACCAGCATTTGTCTACAGAGGCCAATAAAAGTTTGTCCAGTGAATGCTGCAACAATTTCAAAGCTTTTACTATGGACACCTAGATAGTCTTTCAAAATCTTAGCCAAATGCTATTGTAGCTATAATAAACATACTTTGTGTTTCTTTCTTTTTAAGCTTAGATGTATCTGGTTTATTGTTGTTTTTTTACATACTTGTAAGTTGATCTGTAATGTATAATAAGCAGGCATTTAAAAAAAAACCTTTGTGTCAGTTACACAAATCAGTTCAATCCTACCAAGATTGCCACTTCTCCCCCCCCCAAAAAATGTGCGGTTTGTTTTGCATACAGATTTCAAACCATTCAAAAGGATTCTGTGTCTTCAATGGAGACTTCTGTGTTTGTAGTAGCCTGTATATGATCAAAAGTTATAAAATATGTATCTTTTTACTATCAAATCCTTTAAAACAGAGGTCCCCAACCTTTTGGGCACCAGGGACCTGTTCCGTGGAGAGAGGTTTTTCCGCGGACCAGACAGGGGCGTGGTTTTGTGTACTGCCTGCATCCCGTGGATAGGGCTTGTTTGCGTGGACCGGTTTGTGGCATGTTGTGGCCCAGTGCCAGTCCATGGACTGGGGGTTGGGAACCCCTGCTTTAAAAGCCTAGGATAGGAAGAAGAAACCTGCTGATGTTCAGGTAGCATTGAAAATCCCACCCGTGAATTAAGCTGTGAGGTAGGCTGTGAGTTAATTATAATCACCATAGCATCTGATGAGCCACAAGTTCCCTACCTCTGGCCTAAAGGTAGATAAAAACTATCATTTTGCTTAATTGGAATGAATACAAGAAATTCTTGACTTACGACCACAATTGAATCCAAACTGTTGCTAAGGGAGATCGTTATTAAGTGAACCATTGCCGTTGTTAAATTAGTAACCCGGTTGTTAAGTGAATCTGTCTTCCCCATTGGTTTTGCTTATAGGAATGTTCCAAAAGGGGATCACGTGATCCCAGGATACTGCAACGGTCATAAATAAATAGAACCTGATTTTTAATCATGTGACCATGGGGATGCTGCAACAGTCCTAAGCGTGAAAAATGGTTATTCATCCCTTTTTTGTGCTGTTAAAACTTTGAACCTGTTGTAAGTCAAGGACTAATTGCATATGACCTACAACAATTAGCATTGATTTCAGCTCCCTAAATTCTTGGAGATAGCTGCCAGATTTCCATCCACTATTGCCATCATAATATGATCTTTGACACAACCGGGAAAACTATTGGTGTGAGCAGTCTAATAGGAATGAATTTAATGTTAATTAAAGTCAGCTTCCCCCCCCCCCGCCATTGAGTTGAAGCCTACGTGCATTCCTGGCCTGTAAACCTTTGTACACCATTAACAGAAATAAATTCCTTAGATTTTTTTGTGTGTGCTTTGCTTACAGCAAGATGCAAGTAATGTGTACATAACACCAGGAAGTCAAGAACTTTGAAGAAGTTCATGCCCAAATATCCTTGCCATGGATAGATTCAGGCAGATTCTTTTAATTCCAAAGAGCTCCTTGTGATTTGTGACCGTCAGGTAAAGTATCTAGTGGCTAAGGACATGACTAAGATTATGTCTTTTTGGAAGAATGAGGCTCTCGGCTTATTTTGCAGCCTATACTGGTTGACTTTATGCCAGTGGTTCTCAACCTGTGGGTCGGGACCCCATTTGGAGTCGAACGACCATTTCACGGGGGTCGCCAAACAACGCAGTCCACCATTTTTTCCCCCTTTTCCTTAGCTGTGCTACTCCCTTTTATTCTATTGGCTTTTGAATAGAGTCTAATTCTATTGGCTTTCAAAAGCCAATAGGAATTGTCCAGGCTGTCTCTGCCCTGCTGAGCCCGCCAAAAGTCCCATTCTGCAAACGGTGCTGCACCAGTTGAGTAGTCCTTGACTTACGACCGGTGGAGTAGTCCTCGACTTACGACCGGTTGGGGGTCACGGCATTAAAAAGGTTGAGAACCACTGCTTTATGCCATCCTAATCTCCCCTCTTGTCTTCTCCTCTGAAGCACCAAAGTTCTCAGCTGCACTCTTTGCTGGGTGCACTTTCAAACTGGAGCAGTAAGCACATTCCTAGTGTTCTTTTAAATGTCAAACAAAGGCAAAACATGCAAGCTGGCTCAGTTCCCTGCAGATAAATTAATTTCTCCTGGCAGCAGTCCATTGTTCCCTGTTGTCACCCTTTTCTCTCTCTCTCCCCCCCCCTTTGAAATGAAGGCCTGTTTTGAGCTCAATCAGCAGAAGCCCAAGCAATTTGAATGGACGGATGCTGCAGGCTCCAACCAAAGACATTTGAACGAGACCGTCAGGAACTAGGTGTAATTCCTGAATTTCAAAAACCGATCCCCTGTCTTGAAAACAAGGGTTGGCATATGTTCAGGTATATCAACACCATTTGGAGAAAGCCCTGAGATCTGTAGCTAGGCAAGAGCATTTTAGCTGGAATGAATTGGAGCATCCTTGCTCAATCTCACCTCTTCCAGTTCTGCCAGGAATAAGACAGTCAGAACCAAGTTTGAAGACCCCTAGTTCAAAAGGAGGAGACTGTGAGTTCTAGTCCTGCCTTAGGTACAAAACCTAAGGGCAGTAACCTTGGAGCAGTTTGTCTCTCAACCTAGGAAGGAGCTAATGGCAAATCTTGCTAAGCAAATTGCAGAGACTTGTCCAGACAATTGCCAAGAGTCAACAATGACTCAAAGGCATAGACCAGTGATGACGAACCTTTTAGAGACCGAGTGCCCAAACTGCAACCCCCTTACGCATCGTTGGGTGCTGGGTGGGTGTGGTCCATTGGGTGGGCATGGCTGCGGTGGTAACGGCAGACTGGGTGGGACTAAAAAGTTTAATCAATCAATTCCAACTTTGCAAGATTTTTTTTTCCCGCGAGAAGTTGAAATTGACTGATCGATTGAACGTTTTTTTTTTTTTTGACACGACGGTGGAGACCTAAAGTGAAAAGGTTTTATAAAACCCAGCTGAAGGCCTAGGACTGGGGCGACGGCGCGGGTGCCCACAGAGAGGGCTCTGAGTGCCGCCTCTGGCACCCGTGCCATAGGTTCACCACCACTGGCATAGACATAAATACACACACAAGTACTCTACAAGTTCTCTTACACCATAAGACTGTGTGTGCTTCTAGGCTTAAGTGGTGTCAGTCCACATTCTCATCCGTCTACATGTCTTTCTCATTGACTCTAACATTGCTAAAATGCCCATGGATCCAAGATCTGTCCATTGCATCTGTCCATTGCAAAGCCAAAGAATTGGCTTGCATGTCTTCTTCTCATTTCCTCTTTCAATTTGTCTTCCTACATACCAGACAGCTCAGCAACCATATTTGGAGTTAGTTTGCCTGTCTGTTGCTCTTATATCTGTTTGCTGGAGGACTAGAATGTTTTTGCTTGCCCATATATGGAAAAGCTGCTTGAGAAGTCCTGCATCTGGCTTGAATTAGAAGTAATGTCACCTCTTCAGTTCTGATTTTCTCATTAGCTTCTAGCCAGCCACTTTTTATTCTGGTTTCCTGGGGATAAGGCCGATCCGGAGGGATCAGGTATGTGGCTTGGTCCACAATGTCCTTGTTAACAACCAGATTCCTTATAATCATTCATGTCTCTGAAGCAATGGAAGGAAAGGTTGGAGACAGTAATTGAATGTTTTTATTCCAAGGAGGAAATTGTTAATGGAAAAGCAACAGTTAAGTCTTCCTGTCTAGAAACTGGATAGTTGTGTATGTTAAGCATAGGTTCCGTTCAGATGAACAGATGCATGCAGGCTTAGACACTGAATGGGCAAGGATGCATAAACTCTGAAAATAATAGAAAACCCAAGCAAATATGTGTGATTCTTTAATTATCAGGTAAACAATGTGATAGAATGGGAAAGGTATTGGACCAAAACTGGGGATTTTCACGCTTTGGTTAACCCTGAGATTCAAAACTCACAAGTTGTTGTAGTTGTGGGAAAAATGGAAACACAGTGGCTGTGTTTCCATACTGCCTTGTGATTGTGGAGGAAAGGTGGGACATATATATGTCCAGGTTCCTTCTATTGCTCTCCCTATGATACAGGTTGAGTTCCTTTCAATTCTCAGCAAAATAAGGTTCAAATACAGGTTTAAAGAATTCAAGGATTTTTTTTTCTTTTGAAATAAACAGCAAAATGGTTATTAGTTTGATTTTGGAAAGTTGCAAACAGACAAAGGATCCAGATGGATTTTAAGTAAGATTTTGGAATTAATTATAAGAATCCTTCCCATGGGGGAAAAAAGTTTTTGTTTTGAATTCTCTTTTAAAAAAAAAATAAGATGAGATTTTGAAGGTTGAACACTAGAGAGAACGAGAGGCAACTTTACTTGTGTCAGAAGCACCTTCAAATTGTAGATGTATAACATTCAACCCTGAGCAAGTAAAATAGACATAGAAATATAGTTCATGTAAAAAGCATGAAGAATAAATAGGATTTAAAACTAAATGACCTTCACCCAGTATCAGTCCACATCAACAGCATTTTCTCTCACCAGCATGATTTCTGCCTCTGTACATGTTGAAGGACGTTGTATGCACGGTAGCATATGCGAGATAGTTTGTTCTTCTCCACATTCACAGAGGGAAGGAACTAAAGATTCATTGGTTCACATATCTTTGTCCTAGATTAAAAAGCAGCAGCAAGATGTGATCGGCTTCTTGGAAGTCAATAAGATTGAGTATGAAGAGAAAGACATTGCGGCCAACGAAGAGAATCGCAAATGGATGAGGGAGAACGTTCCAGAAGACTGTCGTCCAGCCACCGGGAATCCATTGCCCCCTAGAATTTTTAAGGACAACCAGTACCTTGGGGTAAGCAACGGCCTCTGTTTTTTTTTTTTTCATTTGTGTTGAAAATCTGCTAGGAAGCTTTATTGTATAAGCCTCAAATCGAGAGTCCCTGCCCCAGTTGGACACATCCTTTGCATGCAACTTTTGAGGTGGAGTGAGGTGGAAGGTCACAACAGATGAGAAATGCCTGGTCTACTTCATTTGAACTTAAAACACTGGACAGATTTTTTCTTCCAGGCTATCCTTAGAAATCCCTGAGCTGTAAGCTAAGCCAGTATTTTTCAACTTTGCCAATTTGAAGATGTGTGGACTTCAACTCCAGAACGTTCAAAATATTTTTGATAGTAGAAATACAGACACAAACGCTTTTGTTCAGAACCAAGGACATTTCTGGATATTTCTGGATTAATGGGGGTCTACCGACATTTTCATTTTTACATCTGCAAAAAGGTGGTGCTTTCTTTTTCTAAAGATTCCTGTCCTAGTCATAGTTCTACTTATGTGATGCAACAATTAGAACTAGTTTAAAAGTTGGAAGGTTTTGTAATATAAAGATTTTGCCATCTAGGGAACAGCAGTCAAATATATTTGAAATTGGCTGCATTTCCTAACTCAGAAATACTCAGCCTATTTATTTTTCCAGTGTTAATACAATGATCAGATTTCTTGCCAAACCAGCTGGATTTTGTGTTGATTTTTGAAGCCAGTAATATATGTAACTGAATCTCCCAAGGGATGAATCCCCTATCACAACCACCTTGTTTCTTACTAATATCCCAAAAACCTGTTTGTGGAAAGTCAGCTATAACGGACAGCAAAGAATTTATTTAAAGAAAAGTATTAAGATGAAGTTCTAGGACATCTCTTGAAAAAGCCAACTATCTAGATTCTGGTCAAAGCTTAGCTGAGTTTTGGATAGGTTTCTCTGCTTCCTTGAGTACCATGAAAAATGGGAAATATAATAATATTTATAAACAGGCATAGATAGATCTTCACGAAACATTCTCTATGAGTTCCTTTTCCCAAAAAATCAGCTATTTCAAATTGGTTCCATAATAATAATAATAATAATAATAATAATAATAATAATAATAATAATAATAATAATAATAAACTTTATTGTCATTGTATGTGTATACACAGTATACACATACAACGAAATTTACGTGACACCCAAAGACCAGGTTCCACACACATAATCCCCAAACACACTCCCACCCACCACAATTCCCCACCCCTAAAACTGCCCAAACATCCACCCAACAGACCAAGTAATACTGTGCAACAGTTCACTGATGGCGGCCCTTTAGTTCATTATTAAGTGCAATTATAGCTCTAGGATAAAAACTATTCAGGAAACGTGTGGTCCAAGGCTGTAATATAGACTGTACTAGGTTTTTCTGAAGCTAGCTAGCTTTTTTTACACTGTCTGTAGAGCTAGGTAGCCCTTGGTCATCCATTGATTACATCATTAATGGTAATATATTGCTACGTCTTCTTGTGTTGGTTCTGTTTAGTTTTGTTTTATTTGAATGTTTAATTTATGTGTTGGCCTTCAGCTGTAATAATAAATTGATTTGATTTGACTGTACTAATTTTTCTTTTCTTCCCCCCCCCCCCCGCCCCATCCCAAAGGATTATGATGCTTTCTTTGAAGCTAGAGAGAATAATGCCGTCTATGCTTTTTTAGGCTTGACTGCCCCACCTGGTTCAAAGGTAAGTATTGCTACAGTTTCCTGTGCTTTGAAAGTCTAAATGCAAGTGTTACATTTTGAGTTTATTTCTTCTCTTGTCCCTTTCTTCAGCCAAGGGTGAAATACTCAAAATTGGGTCCATAGGTCAGGGTTTTTCAACCTTTTCACCCATTGTACCACTTTTAGGATATGGCAGCATCCAAGTACCACCAGTCGCCTAGCAAGGGGTCAAAAACTTGATGACCCAAAAAAAAAAAAAAAAAAAAAAAAGGAAAAGAGTGATAAAGTACAGGTAGTCCTCGACTTACAACAGTTTGCTTAGTGACTGTTCAAATTTACAGTGGCACGGAAAAAAGTGCCCCTCAAGCCACAGCCGAACAAGACACCTGCCTGCCCGCCCAGCAGCATTCTTCCTTCTATCCAAGGTTTTTATTGTTGTGAGCATTTCTATTGGGGATTGATAGCGGGGGTGGGTTGGGGGGGTGTTTGGTTTTTATTCCCCCCGTCTGCTGGGTGGCTGCAGCAGGTTTTGGTCACTTCACATGACCCTGGGACACTGTGACCGTCATAAATATGAATCAGTTGCCAAGCATCTGAATGTAAATCACAAGACCCTGGGTATGCTGCAACATTCCAGCTGATCGGTGCTTTGTCAGCAGAAGCGCCAGGATCAGCGCCGAGCTCCAGCTGGAGCCTGGCGCTGATCCTGGTGTTTCCACTGAGCCCTGACAGCCCCGAAGAAGTGCCGATCAGCTGGAAAGCTGCACTGACCCTGGCGCTTCCACTGAGCCCTGACAGCCCTGCAGCTCCAGCTGTCTCTCGCTCAGGCTTGTGCAGTGCTGCCACCGGTTCAGCTCATTCCCCTCCCCCGCTACCACTTTTCTGGGATGGTCGTGTACCACCTGCCAGGTGCCAGTGTACCACAGGTGGTACCCATACCACTGGTTGAAAAGCCCTGCCAGAGGTAGCATTTGTGCTAGTATTCAGTATCCATGTAGCACAAACCTTAATGAGAGCAACATGCATGTGATTTGGCATTGCCTCTATTACCTGTGTAGTCGAGAAACATTCATTCTTCCTGTACTGACACCTGGTAGAAGACAAGATGAGAACTTTTTTCTTGATTTCTCCTCTCAGATAAGGAACTATTTATCACATGAAACAGTGCTAGATTTTCTCTGGCAGCAGTTAAAATTTTCAAAAAGATACTCAGGTATGCTAAGCATGGGTAAACTTTATTTTTAAGGCTGATGAGCTTCCTTGTTTATTTTATCTTCATCTATTCGGAGACTGCCCCTTTAGTCGTAGGATGAATATTAAGCATTTTTAATAGAGAAATAGCTTACTGTTCCAATATATAATATTGCGTTAAGCATCCTAGCTTTTTATTATCTTTCTTTTCCTCTTAAAACAGTGGTTCTGAACCTTTTTAATGCCGCGACCCCCAACCGGTCGTAAGTCGAGGACTACTCAACCGGTCGTAAGTCGAGGACTACTCAACTGGTGCAGCACCGTTTGCAGAATGGGACTTTTGGCGGGCTCAGCAGGGCAGAGACAGCCTGAACAATTCCTATTGGCTTTTGAAAGCCAATAGAATTAGACTCTATTCAAGAGAGTCTATTCTATTGGCTTTCAAAACCCAATAGAATAAAAGGGAGTAGCACAGCTAAGGAAAAGGGGAAAAAAAGTGGCGGACTGTGTTGTTTGGCGACCCCCGTGAAATGGTCGTTTGACCCCAAATGGGGTCCCGACCCACAGGTTGAGAACCACTGTCTTAAAAGCTTCAGCGGTATTGCTGAAACGGATGTAATTTTCCTTCCTTCTCTTTTAAGCTGATCTGGGACCAAAATAAAAATGTGGATTGCATTGTAAACAGGAAGAATACGTTTGGGATGTTGCAAGTTTATAATTTGTCAAAGTCCACACCGTTTACTTGGTCTTGTCCTGCTCCAGCAGCTATTGAAACTAATACATGTGACCAAATTGTGGGTATGTCTTTTATTTTATTTATGAAAAATACCCCTCCAGCTAACATTTCACTTGTTGTCTTTCCAGGAAGCAGAAGCACTAGCAAAACAAGAGGCGTGAAGTCTTCCTTCCTTCCCAGCCTCAAGATTTCTGCAAAGAGAAAAATTCTGCAGCTTTCCCCCTTTACAATAGCAAAAAAACAAGGCGCTTGGAGGAAAAAAAAACGAAAGGTTTTGTTTTTTCCCCCCAAATTACTGGCTGCTCTCTACAATATTCTGCCACATAGGATTAACAGGAAGCCACACCAAATAGTATTATCATTATGGATGATAATAATAAATAACAAGTGTGCCACAATCGAGAGAGAAAGAAATCAAATGGAGCTTCTAGAGACCCTTGATTGAATTTTGACTCTTGCAATGGATATGATTTCTTCCCTGGCAATTGTACAAAAGTCCTCACCGCCACCCCCCCCCTTTTTTTTTTGGTAAACTTAACAAAAGCATTGTATTTTTGCTCTCTGCAACACAGAACTATAATTATACTTGCAGATGCATAGAAAATCTAGCTGCAAAAATGTTTATTAATAAACCCCAGTGCCTCTTACTGCTTCAAAAACAAAAATGAAAAATAAGATGTCCTGAAGTGGACTTTTCTTTTAATGGTTATTGTTTCTAAAAGTTGCAAGGAAGCATGGCTGTAGTTGCAATTACTTGCTGTGATTAGGATATTTGTAGACTTGTTCTTTTGTTATCTTGTAGCCATTGGAGTCTCATTGATGGAATACGGGCAGGATTTACCAGGGTTGATCAGAACACAATAACTGTCTTAGGGAAAGGTAAGATTTTTTTTTTTTTGGCAGTCTTAGTAAAATATTTTTGCTTAGTAAAATAGTTCTTTTTTCTCTAAAATGTGAAGCAAATGTAATATGGGGCCACAATACTTTTTTTTTTAATTAAAAATGAGTTCAAGTAATTACGAATTAGAATAAAACTTAGTTTGACACATTTAAGTTTGTAAAATGTTTCTGTATAAGATTAAATATATTAAAGTCAAGGGTCCAATATGAAATAAAACTGAATAAAAGTCACTCCCAGGAATGAAGCTTATAGGTCTCTATGATACAGGAAGTTCAGCTGGTTTTTTTCAGTCTGGTTTTGCAATGCTGTGAAGTTACCTTCAGCAGTTTGTCAAGCTCCTGGTATTTTCACTACGTGCAACAAAATGATCAAAGTTTTAGGCAAGAACCCCACCCCAAGAAACATGGTAGTTACAAATAATACTGAAAAATATGTGTGTCTCCCTCTTATGGATTTGGAAAGATGTAGTAATGCAACTGAATCTCAAAGCCTTAATCAAATTATATCAAGATAGATATATCCAATAAAAGGGACTATATATAGCTCAGGGTTGAATTGTGGGGTCCTTGGTTGGCTGTTTGCTTTGCAGATGTTTATTTACCCAACTAGGTAACCTCATCAGTGAGATTGAGTCTGGGGTTTGCTTTCTGTTTAGGTATAGCAACTTGCCCTACCAGTCTTGGCAATTCTTTGATTAGTATATCCGCTTCAACAGCCAAGAACTAGATAAGCAGGGATTCATACCAGAGAAACAATCCAGCAGAAAATATTATCCTAATCAAGGAAGTATCAAGGGGAAAACCACACCCCCAGCCACATTGGCAGGGCAAGCTGTATAGAAAAGGAGTATTGATGATGTTATTTAGTCAGGTAACAAATCATATACAATCAGATAATCAAGCTCGGAACCACAGGAAGCCCACAGATAGACAGATGTATGTTGCCTTTTTAATCTCATAGATGTGGTCTGCTCGGCCCATGTGGAGGACCAAAATTAATGTAGATGACTCCATCCAAATATTTCCTTACCCACTTAAAATAATACATGCAGATAAATACACAAACCAACATGAGTTTTTTTTTAAACTAAGATTCCTACCAGTTAACGGGGTTCCTTCCAGAATCCAGGTTCTGTAGGACTTGGCTAACTTTGTAATGCCTACATGATTTTATCTGTGTTGGCTTTCATGGCCTTTGAGAGTCAAAGTACCGTCACCACTTCTCTTTTGTGTGACAGCTTGACCTGTGTTGTTTTCTGGAAAATGTTTAGTACGGTGTTTTTCTTTGGAAATCTGCAGTGTGTAGAGCAATGTTTTTCAACCTTGGCAACTTTAAGATGAGCAGATGTTTTAACTCCCAGAATTCCACATCATGGCTGGCTCGGGAATTCTGGGTGTTGAAGTCCACCATCTTAAATTTGCCAAGGTTGAGAAATGCTAATATAGAATGTCTGGCTTTACAAGTTCTGGATTGGGGCCATCTCTGCGTAGTTCATATTATATGCTTTTGCACCAATGATCATTCTTAGTTGTTCCTGGCTCTGGGCTCAGACTGGATAGAGAATAGCCTGCAGGTTGGAGATGGTATTTGATGGTAAGAAATTCAGACAGTGTATCCTGTAATCTTGTACCCAGTGCCCAAAAACAGTTCCCAAAATTAAAGTTTTTTCACTCAGATATATTGATCTAAATATACCTTGTGTTCTTAATTCATTGCTATTGGAAAGCCTATGTTAGACAACCTATTCCATCTTATCTCCTATAGTCTTAATGTTTTATTTCCTATTTTTGTTGGAGCAATCCTATGCTCAGATCTCATTAATTTTGCATTAAATGAATATATTGTAACTCAAATTTGTTATATTCTATTTTTTTATAAGTTGTCTCTTGTTATTATACTTACCCTGTAAGCCCATCTTTATAGATGTCCTCTGTGATATATCTGTTCTTCTGCATTTTTTATACTCTGCAACAGGGGTGGGTGACTCTGGCAACTTTCCAAACTGTGGACTCCCAACTCCTAGGAATTTTGAGAGCTGAAGTCCACAGGTCATAAAGTTGCCAAAGTTGCCCATCCCTGCTCTACAACCTATGGCCTTTTCCTCTTAAACAGACCTACTCGGTGAGCCTTGTGGTTTCGGCTTGATTGTCATTCCCAGTTTGTCCTTTTGTTTTGTCTGCTATCCTGAACTAGTGCCATTGCTTGGCCTGCTAGTTGTGGAGTTGTGGTAGTTAGCAATAACATTAGGCTTATCTACCGTCCCATAGCATTCTCTGAGCGGTTTACAGAGTCCAGCCTATGGCCCCCAACCATCTGGGTCATCCTCGTTTTACCAACCTCAGAAGGATGGAAGGCTGAGTCAACCTTGAGCCCTACCAGGATCGAACTCCAGGTTGTGGGCAGTGTTAGCCTGCAATCCTGCATTCTAACCACTGCGCCACCAGGGCTCCTTGCTCCTTAGGCCATCTTGCAACTCTATGACTGGCGCTAGTGGCCTGCTGTTGCTGGCTTTTTCTAGTTCTTCTTCAGGCCTTTGATTACTCACCTTCTGGCCTATTGCCATTCTTTCATGACTTCAGCTTTTCTCTCATAATACCACTGCACTTGAGTCTCTATGGCTGGCAGTCCCGCTTCTTTTCCTAACTGGTAGCGGCTCACAATTAACTTCTCAAAACCCTTCTTTTCCCTATTTCATGATTGCTGCGAGCTCTGAATTAGGAAAATTCAATCAGAAATCTTTTTTTTTAAAGGATTTAATACGAATCACACATTTTTTAATAGATCTTTTTTCATTTTGTCTGTTACTTTGGGCTTAATCATGGCCATGAGGACATTGTACCAGCTTCCTATTCCCAAAATCTATAACAAAAGCTGCACAGCTGCTGTTCACCTGGCTGTTTTCTGTTATAACACTGTGCGATTTCATAATAATTTTTTCTACTTTTACACTCAAAATAATCATTGTTATTTTTAATTGCTACTTTCGCTTCAGATAGGGCGATCAGCAGCTTTCTAATGCCTAGGAATCCTCTTTATACTTTGAACATTTTCTTTATCTTCAATAACTTACCGTAAGTAACTGAGGTTATACAAGCCAACAAAAAAGGGGACCATTGAAAACTAAAGGGAGCTTGTCAGTATGTTTTTGGGTTTTACAGTACAGAAATGCCTTTACAAAAAACTTTTGGGGAATAAAACCCTGCTTCCAAATCAATTCAAGGATTGATTCAGCCTAAAGGCAACACATGCATTTGCAGGATATCTGAATTATGTGCTTAAAGGAGACAGAACAGCTCTGAGTAACTTCTTTATTATTGTATTCATCCAGATAATATCGTATCCAAAGCCACAACTTCAAAAGCTAGTTAAGATTTCATTTGGTCTTTCACACACTGGCGTTCTAAACGAGTCAAAATCTTTCTATCTGGTAGGAGAGATTTCAAGTAAGTAAATGTTTAAGGTGGTGCCTCACTTTTCGTGTTCTGCTTTCAGAGAAAAGTGTTACTGCCTTGTCCTCACAGTAAACCTTGTACAAAAAGCTGATACAGCGGACACTATTTTTTGCAAGTTCCATGTCTTTCATAGGGAGTTGAATTTCTTTGACATACAAAATTCCTGTTTTATTTAAACTTTTTTTTTTTTTAAAAAAAATGCTTTAGGCCTTGAACACTTATATAAAGCAACATCTTCAAATCGTTGCCACGTTTTTTGCCACCCTATCCACAGCTGCTACCTTAAGGAATTTCTTAACTTCTTCATTTTCAGTTGCTTCATACAGCATCTCAAAGTCCTAAAAGAAATGCAAAAGGGAGATGTTAATCAGAAGGAGTGAAAGCCACATTCAGCTGGACGTCACTTTTCTTCAGAATGCTGTTACTACTGAACTTGGATCTGATTCTCCTGGATTCAAAGAGCCCTTCCATTCCTAAGATTACCGGATTATGCCAATCACTCACTGAATACATACATCACATCAAACCACAAAACATGCTAAACTGAACGAAACTATATTATAGTTTACCATAGTCCGAGAACTCTTATCAAAAACCAAATGTACAGGTATAGTGTAGGGGGTACCTTGCTCAATAGTAGTAACTGTGAGAGGGATCTCGGAGTCCTAGTGGACAATCATTTAAATATGAGCCAGCAGTGCGCTGCAGCTGCCAAAAAGGCCAACACGGTGCTAGGCTGCATTAACAGAGGGATAGAATCAAGATCACGTGAAGTATTAATACCACTTTACAATGCCTTGGTAAGGTCACACTTGGAATACTGCATCCAGTTTTGGTCACCACGATGTAAAAAAGATGCTGAGACTCCAGAAAGAGTGCAGAGAAGAGCAACAAAGATGATTAGGGGACTGGAGGCTAAAACATATAAGGAACAGTTGCTGGAATTGGGTATATCTAGTTTAATGAAGAGAAGGACGAGTGGGGACATGATAGCAGTGTTCCAATATCTCAGGGGCTGCCCCAAAGAAGAGGGAGTCAAGCTATTCTCCAAAGCACCTGAGGGCAGGACAAGAAGCAACGGATGGAAACTAACCAAAGAGAGAAGCAACCTAGAACTAAGAAGAAACTTCCTGACAGAACAATTAACCAGTGGAACAACCTGCCTCCAGAAGCGTCCAACACTGGAGGTTTTTAAGAAGAGACTGGACAGCCATTTGTCCAAAATGGTATAGAGTTTTCTGCCTGAGCAGGGGGTTGGACTAGATGACCTCCAAGGTCTCTCCCAACTTTTTTATTTATTTATTTATTTATTTATTTGCTGATTTATTTATTTATTTGCTGATTGTTGGAAGGAGAAAGCAGAAAAGAAAGCTCTAGAGTGGGACAAAGTTTTTTCTTTTTTCCTAAAATGCTAAAAAGATGATTTCCACTACATGCAACAAACAAGAATATTTTCCAATCAAAAACCAACAACAGCTATCCTTTCTGTTGGGATAGCTTACCCTTCCTGCAAATCTGATTGGTAGGTCAGTCCTAAAAATGGGAACATTGCTTCTTTTGTGCACTTTGGATTACTGAATAACAGCTTGTTAATGTAATGTAGTTCACACGCTGTACTTTCCCTATCCTTCCGCTCCCACCCCAACCCTTTCCGCCCGCCCCCCTTTTCCCATTTGAAAATAATAGGATAGTCAATATGTAACCTGTGCTGGGGATGATCCTGATGTTTGAAGAAACAAGCTGGAGATGGTGCCAACGAGGGGAGAAAAAAAGCAAGAATGGAAGGAACTGAATAAATTCCTTTTGGGGGGGGGGGGAGAAGGGAAGGGTAAGACATATTCACACCCCAAATACATTTTGAATAACTGTGCTTTTATTCACCTTCAGTCGGTGCCGTCCAACTTGTTTTCCAGCCATTATAACCCAATCCATAATTTGGTTTGCCTCCCCCAGTCTGGTTTTTCTTACCCCGCAATACTCATCTCCATTAAAAATCTGGGGTGGAACCGCATCAGCTTTGCCAACTTTGTCCCTCATCTCTTGCAGCAAACTTTCACTGAGGGAGACATCCACCAGCTGGTACTTCATGCGGTTTCCATCCAGAATACGAAGAACCTCAGACTGCCTCTGCTTCACCTAGATAAGATACCGACAGATTTGGTGAAGAGAGATGGTAGAGATTTTGGGACGTCACAGATGGGAGAGCACCTCTTAACACTTCAGATCCAGGGGTTATCCTGCGATTGCCCTAGTTCTCTGCTTAGGACTGCGGGTTTTAGTTAGAAGTGCTGGAAGCTAACTTTATATTTAAAAGATTTAGTTCAAAAATGGGTGACTTTAGCCTGGGGCTAAAGATGCAGCTTCCTCAGGGTTCATGCCCACTTTTGAGCAAAGTCCTTAAATACAGGGTCCCTCCCGCCACCCAAATTCCCCATCCCTATTATTTTAGTAATTTTGCATTTCCCTCCTTGCCCTCTGCCAAGGTAAAGTCCTGTTTAAATCACTATGGATTCTGATGATGTTACTTATTTAGGGTAATGAAACATCTGCAAGAAAACAAGCTCAGAGAGCACCAAGGACCCCTCACAATGGAATCATTTTTAAATTAAAAGTTTGATAGCACGGTGGAGAACATGGGTGCATCTGTTAACAACGCCACATATAGGTTACAATTCCCAGCATGTTTCCTTAAGCAAATTTGAGCTTACAAATTTCTTATGGATTCTTATGCTACAGGAACAAGAAAGAATCCAGACAAGTAATTAGTATTTTTTTTAACTTGTGCAGAAATGCCTTTTAATAAGTCTGCCCATCCCTGTATACTACTACTACCAGCTGCAGATTTTGATATTTTAGTCTTGGCACAGCTTTCTTGTAGTACTATTTCTACTGATTTTTCTGAAACCCAATTTATTTTGAGCCCTATTTTATGTGTTTCCACTTTTAAGAGCGGCAGTTTTTGAATGTTAAAAAAATGTGCCTTGAACTGAACGCCTGTATTAGGAATTAGTTTTGCTTCTACCAGATGGAAGATGGTGTACAATTATAGAATAAGATGTCTTTTTATATTAAAAACATAGCACAACTGGCACTTGTTTAAATCTGTAAACTGCCTGGAGTCCTTAAGAACTGAGGTGGCAGATGAAATGCGCCAGATATATAGATACAGAGGCACTCTTGAATTGTCAGTCCAAGTTCCAACAGAAGAGAGTATTTGTGGCTCAGGTTTGAACTGTGGAGTTCTTGGTGCTCTCCCAAGTTCAGTTGTTTCCTTAAAAACATTTCAATATCCAACTAGGTAACATCATCAGTGCCAGGAGGGACTGGGGTTTGCTCTCTTATATACAGTCTCTTCTGGCATTGATGTTGCCTGCCCCATTTCAGTGGGTTTGCACAAGAAAAGGTTCCAATGGGGATTAGCATTTCAGAAGAGTGTATTTGTAATCTCCGAGTTGAATTGTGGGGTCCTTGTTGATCTCTGAACTTGGTTGTTTTCTTGCAGACATTTCACTACCCAACTAGGTAGCATCAGTGCTAAGAGGGAGTGGGGTTTGCTCTCTGTCAATCAAGGCTTGAGAATGAAATCAGGCATGGCAAACCATCGTGGATGAAGCAGATCTGCCTCATCCCCATTCTCAGCAGCTCCAAAGAATACGGTGAAGGTTCTGTGGTCAGTTTCTGAACGTTTCGCCACCAGGCTAGGTAAAATCTTTAGCGAGGTTTAGTGTTCTTCATGAATAAACCTTCACTCTGTCCTACATCCGAGCTACAGATATTTGCCAATATTGCAAAGCTTAAAAAAAAAAAAAAAAAAAAGCCCAGAGAGAAGGACCTGGAGCCCGTTCTCCAGGCACCCCTGCAGACTCAGGTTTGGGCCTTTCAGAACACTTACTCAATCTTGGATCTCATTGCAAACCTTTCATTGATATTTTGAGCTCAAAATAGCCTGCTTGGGGGATCACATTCCCCGACTTTCACCCCTCCTCAGGATGCTTGCATCTCATCAGAGCAGTGGTCTTCAAACTTGGCAACTTTAAGACTTGTGGACTTCGACTCCCAATTCTGGAAGTTGGAAGTCCACAAGTCTTAAAAGTTGCCAAGTTTGAAGACCCCTGCATCAGAGGATGCCCTGGATGAGCCTTTCCCAGCCTAGTGCCAGAGATGATGGCAGCTATGGTCTCTGGAGGGGGTTTAGGGGTTCTACTTCAACACCCAATGAGGGTGCTGGGTTGGCTGGGGGAGATGGGAGTTGGGATCCCAGAGTCTATGGAAGAACATTGTGGCAGGTATTTCCAAGACACACAAGGGATGCTAGGGTGGCTGGGAGCGATGGGAGCTGTGATCCAAGAGTCTCTGGAAGGGTCCTGGAGCTTGAACTGAGACACACAAGGGATGCTAGGGTGGCTGGGAGCGATGGGAACTGCGATCCAAGAGTCTCTGGAAGGGTCCTGGAGTTTGTAGTTCCAAGACATACAAGGGATGCTTGGTTGGCAGGGAGTGATGGGAGATGTGATCCCAGAGTCTGGAGAAGAGGTGGCGGGTGTGGCTGCAACACAGAGAGCGCGATGGGAGTTGGGATCCCAGAATCTCGGGAGGGGCTTGTAGTCCTGAGAGCCCCCAGGCAGCGCTGGGATGGCTGGGCATAATGGGAGCTGTGATCCGACGGGCGGTTCCAAGGCAGGCCCAAGGCGCTGGGGACGATTGGATTTGTGGTCCCCACGTCTCTGGAGGGAGAGGGACCTGCAATCCCAACCACAAGGAAGGCGCTGGGGACGATGAGCTCTGCAGTGTCCGCACCCCCGGAGGGCGACGGGTTGCAGAAGGGCTCGGGGCGGCTCGCCCTCCCGAGCAGCTCGGCGGGTCAGGGTCTCTCGGGCGCGGCAGCCCCCCACGCCGCCCCTCACCTCCCTGGAGCCCGTCACGCTGGTGTAATACACCCGAATGGCGGCCATGCTCCCGCGGGGCCCGCCGTTGCTATGGGAACACAACCACCAGCTAGGCTCGCGCGTTCGGAATGGTCACTCGCGGTGCCATTCAAAGAACAGCCCTCCTCCCTCCCCGCCGGGCCTCTCTTTTCCCTTGATTATTGCTCCTCTGCGCCCCTTGCGGGCCGGCGGGGAACTGCGGCGATTGGGCAACGCGCCTGGAAATGAGACTTTTTCCCCCTTCTTTGTCGACCTTTAAGATGGGTTGTGTTGCGGTACTTGCGCAACCCGGCCAGCCAGAAGGGAATGATAGGAGCTGGAGTACAGCACCGAGACTGGCTGGGAGTTCTGGGCAATGCAGGAGGGTGCAGAAGGTCTGGGATTCAGGGGCGGGGAGTCAAGACCTGTCTTTGTATTTGTCAAAGACAAAGATCCTTCTGCCTCCAGCAGTTGTGGGTGCCCCATCACTGCAGGTTTTTAAGAAGAGATTGGACAGCCACTTGTCTGGAATGCTGTAGGGTCTCCTGCTTGGGTAGGAGGTTGGACTAGAAGACCTCCAAGGTCCCTTCCAACTCTGAATTCTGTATGAATGTATGCAAGAGTCAAGCTTGATTCAGAGAGCATCTGCTCTAGCTAATGTGCTCTTGTTTAATCCTTCACGACAAGATTTTGGTCTCCATAACAACTCTCCAGTTCAAGTTTAAGTCATTCTTTCATTGAATCTTACTGCTGAGTTGAAATCTGGCCTGTTTCAAAGGAACGTTGCCTCCAGAAGTCATGGGTGCTTCATCATTGGAGGTTTTAAAGAAGAAATTGGACAGCCATTTGTCTGAAATGGTATAGGTCAGTGGTGGCGAACCTATGGCACGTGTGACAGAGGCGGCACTTGGAGCCCTCTCTGTGGGCACACGTGCTGTTGCCCCAGCCTTGCCTCCCGACCCCCTCACCAGCAGCCCCCCTGGAGGAGAGTCGCCCCCAAGCGTGACCCATGCGGAGCAGTGCAATCAAGGACATGACAGCCGGGCAGTGGGGACAAGACTCCGCCCTTGCACCCCATCGCAGATGATGCTGCGGGCACAGGTGAAGGGCGTGGCTGCCATGGCGCTACTGGGCCGCCTGGGCGATCTGCAGTGGGCTGTGGAGGTGGCGGGTGGCCCTGTGGGTGGGTGGGGGCGGGGCAGCGATGGAGCAGGAGTGGGACGCTGCGGGGGTGAGGCAGTTTTTGGGCACTCGGTGTCTAAAAGGTTCGCCATCACTGGTATAGGTTCTCCTGCCTGAGCAGGGAGCTTGACTAGAAGACCGTGAAGGTCCCTTCCAGCTCTGTTCTGATTGACTGACCTCCTAAGTCCCTGCCAACTCTCTTATTCTGCTAACTCTGTCATGGGAATAATTCAGGTGAGCATTGGAATGGGCCAAGCGAAAGATCTGCAAGAAATGTGGAAATTCATCCTGACGGTCTATATTTTCCTTCTCCATCCTCCACCACACATCATAATAATTCCAAGATTCAGCCTCTTCTGTGCATCCTGCAGAAAAGACCTCTGCCTGGGAATAATTTACATTTTCACTTTCCTAATTAAGTCGTTCTTCCTCTTTCCAAAGCACTTCTACGAAACCTACCAGTCACGAGAGAACAGCGCTATCTGCCTGGTTACACAATATAGATTTTAAAAGTCAGATCCTTATTTGGATTGACTATTGCAGGAGGGGTGACCACGGACAGTTTCTTTTTCCCCTCACTGGAAGTGGCTTGGCGATAAATGCATGAACATTGCAGAATCCCAGAGATTAAACCATGGCTTGTTGAGAGTACCACATCTGGGCAATCTTTGAAAAAAAAGTTCAGAAAAGAACCATCCTTGTCTCTGTTTTGTGGCTGTTTTTCTCTCTGATCCCACCCAGCATGTAACCAGCAAAGGTATGTTCTTTGCAAACACTGAAAGATTAACTTTATATATATATATATACTTTTAAATATATTAAGGCTACAGTCCAGGGCCTTTGTTGCAAGTTTCTCAGAATTGCCCACTAGTGAGTAGGTCAGCATATACATTTAATAAATAAATACAAATAACAAAAGTGTAACTGGGAATATGTTTTATTGAAGGGGCCACCTTGGGATGGCTCAAAACTATGACATTCTGAGATCCAATTGCTTAATGTAGTTCGTGGTAAGATTTGCAAGTATCAGTGACATTTTGGAATGAACGTTTTACAATCTTTTTAAAAAATATTATTTGTAATGTAATATTATACCGGCAGTATCACATGGATGCAAAAAAGGGTCGATGACAAACATAAATCTAAGCTTATCTGAAAATCATACTCCTACTAAGCCATTCATATTCCTACTGTCATGCCTTGTTGGATTATACTATTTTAATATTGTACAAAATCTACCTCTGCACCCTGCCTCCTCCTGTTTACCTGTTCTTTTATCCTGAGAGATCTTTTTGCCATCAGACAATGCTGTAGAATTTCCTGTAATATTTTAGCGATGACCTACAGCAGGGGTAGTCAACCTTGGCTCTTTTATGACTCATGGACTTCAACGCCCAGAATTCCTGAGCCAGCTAAGCTGGCTCAGGAATTCTGGGAATTGAAGTCCACGAGTCATAAAAGAGCCAAGGTTGACTACCCCTGACCTACAGTATATGGCTTTATCGCTTGGACCACAGGTAAACATTCAGGACAGATTATATAGAATCTGCCCAACCTACACAGTGTAATAGAGGATATTCAATACTCATCTTGAATCAAAACGGGGAAATTTTCACCCTAGTGGTCCCATCCCTCTGGACTGCAGTATTCTCCCCTCTAAGTTTAGTCTGGCCCCATCCTGATGATGTTTCAGAAGCTGACCAAAAATAATCCTCTTCAAGAGACCCTTCCAACTTGTTTTTAATGGCAGCTAAATGTTGATTTATAGATTCTAATAGTTTTGGAAAAAATATTAATGTTATAGATGTTTTTATACTTTAATTAAGAGTTTTATTTCTTTTAATTTTATGCCATCTAGGATCGGAAGAGTAGGCTGTGCATAAAATTGGGCATGGAAAAATATTTCATTGCGGTTGTTTAACTTGCAGGACTTTGCACAACTAGGGGGTCCTTCAAATCTGATGTCAGAACAGGGCACCAAGTTGAGAAACCTTTGACCAGGTTTGAGAAACACTTAGGTTTACCACTGTTATGGACACAGGACATGGTTTGGGTGAGGCTCATATGCTCAAGTACAATTTCCTGTTAATCTTTTTTTTTTTTTTTTTGAGAAATGAGAATCACAATGAATTAGTTGTGAGAGTTAATGATAATAATTTGTTAACTGCATATGCTGCCCCTCAGAGCAATTCTGGACGGAATGGACACATTTGGCCTGCTTTCCTAAATACTTGAAGGAAAATTATTAAAGCGGAGAAGAAACAGTGGGGTCCTTGGTGGTCTCTGAACTTGATTGTTTTCTTACATATTGTTCCTTACCAAACTAGGTAACATCATCAATGCTGAAGCGAGTGGGATTTGATCTCTTTTTATATACAAATAGTTTGCCCTGTCCATGTCGGTGGGAATGTTCTTGGTGATGTCTTGATTAGGTTGTTTATTGTTTGTTTGCCTGAGTGAGTAGTTACTTGATTGAAGTATTGTTTACTTCATGTTTGTTGGTCTAGTGCAGGGTTAGGCAACCTTGGCTCTTTTATGACTCGTGGACTTCAACTCCCAGAATTCCTGAGCCAGCCATGTTGAGGGGAAAGGGAGAGGTTTCCAAGCTGAGCCATGCTGGCTCAGGAATTCTGGGAGTTGAAGTTCACGAGTCATAAAAGAGCCAAGATTGCCTACCCCTGGTCTAGTATCAATCTGATGATAATCTGTTCTTATCTGGGTGTTGATTGTTGGTGGGAAAGTGTCTTGGTCTTTTTGTTTCCTATTTTGTTTTTTGACAGTGCAAACCACTACTATATAAAAAGAGAGCATATCCCCACTTCCTTCTAACATTGATGACGTTAGCTAGTCTGGAAATGAAACGTTTGCAAGAAAGCAGTCAAGCTGAGCGAGCACAAGGACCAACCTCTTCTCTTCTAAAGAAGAAACTGTAATTTGCCTGACTTATATGTTTTGCTGCCAAAAGAAATTAATGTACCAACTTTCTAATTTCTTTTAAAAGAAGAAGAAAGATGTATACGTGCAGTAGGAACACAGCTAAGAAAATGAATCAGAGGCTAAACATCATACACGTTGCACCAACATGACTTCCTTAATCAGCCTTCCTTGAGCAAGCTGCAGTCAGATGGGTGTCTGTGTTTGAGTAATAATTGACTAATTGACCAATAATAAGTAAAATACAATCTACAAATCATAACATGGACTCACAGAATGCATTGAGCTAAAGCAAAGCAAATATCTTTGTAAGAGCTTTCAAGTTGTGATCCAATTTTTGAACAAATCCTTCATGCTTAGGGTGTACCGTGTGGTGTGAATCCAACCATTATGATCTGCAAACCATAGTTCATGGCTTAGAATGTATGATCTCAGCCAATTATGAACTAGGAGTCAATAGCCACAGGGCAATACTTTTTCATTTGCTTGCTTAGCTACAAACCATGTTTGTGGAGCAACTGAATACTGTAGGTTTGTAGTGTTTTTTTCTGGATGACTTAGATTAACATCCTGGTTCTTTAATGTACCTTCTTACCTTTTTGGTGTTTTGTAATGCCTTGCCAAATTAATGGGATTATAGAATATATTTTGTTTAGCATGAGGGCAATGCAGAAAGGAAGAGTAAAAATTTAAGCATTGTAAGAGACTCTTTCCAGAGGTTTTAGATTATAAATACCAGAATTCCTACATACTGATGTGGGAATTGTGGAATCCAATAAACCAGGAAGATCTCAGTTTGAAGAAGGCTGAGGATATGTTGCTGTTCTATTAACCAAGGATCAAATATCAATGACTTAAACACCAGAATGTGTTTTCTCTTTCCTTCTCTAAATAACTTCTCCGTGTATTTTTTTTAAAGGCATTTGCTCTGCATACTCTTTTCAAAGATTCGTATTCTGACCAACCATGCTGGCAGAAAGCTTCATATCCATCTTTGCCTATAAAGGTGAGTCTTTTGACTCTCGTCCAGGCCAAGTGCTGAAACCTGTTGGGCAGGAAACTTGGCAAAGCCAGTTTGCAAATATGGATGATAATGAACAGTTCTTTATGGAATCCGATCAAGCAGCAGTTGAGAAGATGGCGGAGATTCATGGCGGTAACATGGATCTAAAAGGTCACCAACAGATCCCTGGTCAAGATGTACCAAGAAAGAAAACCCACAAAACACCTCTATGCGCCCCTCAGCACATACTAATTCAAGAGGAATACTGTGGAAAAGAACTGGACCTGTACAGATCTTGGTCAAACCAAAGCCTTTATCAGAATTATCCTGATCTGCATATCGGAGGAGATCACATCGCTGACCATACACGTGATTCAGATCGCACCGTGGACCAGACTCCCAACGAATTGCCTGGGCCCATGCTCTTGTCCACCGATATCCCCTTAGATACTCCCTTTCCATTACAGAAATCCAGAGTGCTAAAGTTGGGGCACGGGGATGACGTTGGGGAGAGCAGCATGGTTCCCCACAAAGAGCCCCTTTCTAACTCCTTGCTGAACAAACACATGGAGCGCGAAATCCAGGAACTCTATAAACAGTTTTGGGAAGAGAAGTTGACTCACTGCAATTCCATCACCCACTTCCTGACGTCGAACGGCCTGACGAGTAACATGGGTGAGACCCATCACCCACTGTCTCAGGGACACCAACAAACGCTCTTGCACTCTCTGGCTCGTCTGGGCTTGCACAACACTAGCAGTGGAAACAGCAGTGAATTTAGCACGCCAAACTTACAAATCTCCGCCCCGCTTTGCAAGAGAAAATGTCTCTGATGCAACATGGAGGATGAAAGAAAGCAGCTGTGGGATAGTCTTTGGTCAATACTAGAGTAGACAAGTTTTGATGGTCGAGATTCACACTCAAAAAGTTTTTGGAAGGTGACAAGTATACCAGTCAGCAGGGCAACAGCCCATATACAGTGAAGCCTTATCATGTATATATAGAAAAAAATCTGAAAACTTCTTGACAGAAACCTAGGCATTACTAAGCCTATTTTAGGGTTTATGCTGCATTCCCCCCCCCCCCGTGTATCAGTGATTTTTAGCTATTAATAAATCATCAGACCAACAGAATAACAAAGTTGGAAGGGACCTTGGAGGTCTTCTAGTCCAACCCCCTGCTCAGGCAGGAAAGCCTATACCATTTCAGACAAATGGCTGTTCAGTCTCTTCTTAAAAACCTCCAGTGTTGGAGCACTCACAACTTTTGGAGGCAAGTCATTTCACTAATTAATTGTTTGACTGTCAGGAAATTTCTCGTTAGTTCTAGTATTGCAGTAGGAATGCTAGAGAAGTAGTAATAGTAATGGTAGAAAAATAGACTTAGGAACTATTTTTGACCCTGGCTTAATTCTAAAAGTGCACAACCTTAAGAGGCTCTAGGACATTTGTGGTAAGAGACTTATTGGCTTTTGGGAACTGTAATTGTGTGAGGGTTGGTTTATAAACTTATCTGATTCCATCCCCTCATTTTATTTTGACATTTCAAAGATGTTGTCCTATAAAGTTCATATATTTCTCAAGATCAGCTTTATTTTTACTTTATATATTCTATGGAAAAAATAATCAGGAATACATTCTGGAGAAGTGAAATTCATTTGGAGAACGTTCTGAAGGATTCTAGTGGAAATCGTAGAATTCTTCATTGCAAGATATTTATGAAACCATTACATGATATAAAAAGTTGTGACATTAATTTTCTGATTAAAAAAGATAGGGGAACAGAAACAAACTGGATTTCTGCTTTCTGATTTGTCAGTTTCTAACCACTTAAGATAACTCATTGCTGATCCATTTTTTTTTCTGAAACGGAAATATGACTCAGGACATTATACAATTATAATGGAAAGTTCTTAGACACTAACAAAACGGTTTTTAGACTTTTGAATGAAGGGATCCATAGTAATCTCTGGGGGGGGGGGACACCCAAATACCTGCCAAAGTCTGCCAGACTTGATTGTTTTCTTTCAAACATTTTGTTACCCAAACTAAGTAACATCATCATTGCTGGAGCACCAGCACTGATGATGTTACCTAGTTTGGTAATGAAATGTTTGTGACAAAACAAGCTCAAAGAACACCAAGGATCTCTCAAACTCTGCAGGATTAGAAGGCAAATAATTATGCTCTTAAGTGTACCAGGCCTTCTCCTTACTCGGCTGTTCCCAGTTTTCTGCTAAATCAGTGGTTCTCAACCTTTTTAATGCCGCGACCCCCAACCGGTCGTAAGTCGAGGACTACTCAACTGGTGCAGCACCGTTTGCAGACTGGGACTTTTGGCGGGCTCAGCAGGGCAGAGACAGCCTGGACAATTCCTACTGGCTTTTGAAAGCCAATAGAATTAGACTCTATTCAAGAGAGTCTATTCTATTGGCTTTCAAAAGCCAATAGAATAAAAGGGAGTAGCACAACTAAGGAAAAGGGGAAAAAAATGGCGGACTGCATTGTTTGGCGACCCCCGTGAAATGGTCGTTCGACCCCAAATGGGGTCCCAACCCACAGGTTGAGAACCACTGTGCTAGATGTAGGCGAGTTCACTTGCTGTAATTGTTAGAATTTTTAGAAGTTTAAAATATACCATAAAATGGAGATGGAAACTGTTAAGAGAAAGACAGATACCTTTCAGCTGCGCAAGGATCTCAGATGCCGACAAATGTCTCTCCATTTATCAAAACAGGAAACTGGATGCATTTTTTTTCATTGTCAATATTATTATGCTAGCCATAATAATATTAATTCATAGCCTGCTAGGACCACAATATAAAATGCCACATTAGTGGGAGACGTAAGTATGTTTTCCCTTTAGCTGTATCTCTTCCCTATTTAGAAATCCTTTTATTCTGTTAAAAATCTGGAGAGAAGGAAGGCATGCATAAAATACAATGAGTAAATAATCGAGATGGTTCATAGATTTTTGTTTTTAAAGTAACGATATTCCCTTTAAGAGCCTCCAGCATGTTTGCTCTTTATTAAAAAAACAACAACCAATGTGACCACAGCAGAATAGCTGAGATTGTAGGGTGGAAGATTGAAGATCTCATTTTATGTCCCCTGAAACCCTCTGGGTCTTTACACTTTGGTCTCATCTCCTGCGCCAGGTGACACTTTGATAAAAGAATAACAGAATTGGAAAGGATCTTGGAGATCTAGTCCAAATACCTGCTCAGGCAGGAGACCCTATACCCATTCTGAACGATCTCTTCTTGAAAACCTCCAATGATGAAGCATCCCAACTTCTGGAGGCAGGTTGTTCCACTGGTTAATTGTTCTCAATGTTAGGAAATTTCTCCTTAGTTCCAGGTTGCTTCTTTCCTTGCTTAGCTTCCATCCATTGCTTCTTGTCCTGTCTTTCAGGTACTTTGGAGAATAGTTTGACTCCCTCTTCTTTGTGGCAGGCCTTGAGATATTGGAACCTTACTGGGCATCTGTCCCTAAGCTTGAGAATGGATGAGATGGGAGGGCTTTCAAATTCCCTGCTCCCTTTGTAGCAATTCAAAGGTCGGATTTTAACAAGTGAAATAATTTCCATAATAATTTCCATAATTCCAGACTGCTGACTGTTAGAAGCATGGGAGCCCTTGGCCATCTCTCTGAAAGATAAGGCAATCTTACGGAAGGTTAAACAAAATGAAAACTTTATTAAAGAAATATATCAAAAGCCTTTCTTAATTTGAAACAACGTTCATTTGTCGAAGAGGGGCAGTTACAGAGGGAAAGAAAAGGAAATACGCACATTCACACAAATATATTTCTCTAAGCAAAACACAAGATGGGGCTGTTCTGTTGCTATCTGCCTCTAAAGGTTGCAAGGGAAAATCTTTGCTGCTCCACATTTCCAAATGGAGAGAGGTTCAAATTGTTAGTGAGGGAAAGATGGGATGAAAGAGGTCTTTATGAAAACAACCTAGTACTTGAAGTTCTACCTTGTTTCTTAATTTCTAAAGAATCTTCTTAATTTCTTCTAAAAGAATCTTACCCTTATCCCATACAGTAAATAGAAATCAACATCTGGATGCTCCTGCTCTAGACAGTTTTACTTATTTTCTACCAAAGTCAAAGCAAAAATATTTTATCTATGCTTCTTGGATTGCTGCAGCTCCTTGGAGATTCCAATTTTTCCCCCCCCCAGAGGCTGGTTGGATGATGAAAAATCCCTGTTTCTTTTTCTGCCTCTTTCTCCAGTTTGTCAAGAATTCTGCTCTTGTTTTAAAATAAAGGGGCTTCTTTCCTTCCCTCCCTCCCTCTCTCCCTCCCTTCCTCTCCCTCTCCCTCCCTCTCTCCCTCTCTCTCTCCCTCCCTCCCTCTCTCCCTCTCCCTCCCTCCCTCTCCCTCTCCCTCCCTCCTTCTCCCTCTCTCCCTCTCCCTCTCTCCCTCTCCCTCCCTCTCTCTCTCCCTCCCTCCCTTCTTCTCCCTCCCTCTCCCTCCCTCCCTTCCTCCCTCTCTCCCTCTCTCCCTCCCTCCTCTCTCTCTCTCCTCCCTTCTTCTCTCTCCCTCCCTCTCCCTCCCTCTCCCTCCCTCCCTCCCTCCCTTCCTCCCCCTCTCTTCCTCCCTCCCTCTCTCTCCCTCCCTCCTTCTCTCTCTCCCTCTCTCCATCTCTCCCTCCCTCCCTTCCTCCCTCTCTCTCTGGAAAGAGTTGGAATAATTTATATGTGGCAAAGAACATCTCTTCCTTGTGTTTTGCTCTGGAGCATCTGAGCCAGTCTGGCACTACCCTACATTCGTAACACGTTCTTCATTTTCCTTCACGCTATAAATTCAAAGCGACTTGAAAAAAAGAAAAAAGAAACAACAACAACAAAAAACCAAGTTAACCAAACACAATGAATAAACAATGCAGATTATTCAGAACAGATGTTTCATTCATTTCAAGTGTTTCTAACCCATGTATTTCTCCACAGAGCGGTGTTTACACAATAATAAACGCAGCACCAGACAGTTCGGTGTTGTGGTTCAAGGCGCCAAGCTAGAAACCAGGAGACACTGAGTTCTAGTCCTGCCTCAAGCTGCGTAAGTCACTAAGCCCTAGGAAGAAGGCAAGACCAAATTTCTTTCCAAAAAACCTTACCAAGAAAACTGTAGGGCAGTGGTTCTCAACCTTTTTAATGCTGCGACCCCCAACCGGTCATAAGTCGAGGACTACTCAACTGGTGCTGCACCATTTGCAGAATGGGACTTTTGGCGGGCTCAGCAGGGCAGAGACAGTCTGGACAATTCCTATTGGCTTTTGAAAGCCAATAGAATTAGACTCTATTCTCCCCCCCCCCCAAAGACAGAATAGAGTAAAACTTAAATAAAAGCAGAGCACGGAAGCTTTAATTCACATTACAAGTGAAATGGATTTTTTTTTTAAAAAACGTAGTTGTTTGCAGCTTGGAACAGACCCGTAAAAAGACTTGGTTTTTTTTTTCTTTCAGGAACAGCCTGGTAAAACAGACCTCTCCCCAAATCTGTATGGTAATTTGGGGGGGGGGAGCATTGTTTAAGAAAGCATTATGGGATGGAATGAAGTGGGAAGAAGGTGGATGGAGATCAATGCATGGACCTTTAAGAAGAGACTGGACAGCACTTGTCTGAAATGGTTTCCTGCTTGAGCAGAGGGTTAGACTAGAAGACCTCCACAGTTCCCTTCCAGCTCTGTTAACAGTATTTGGTTAAGATGATCCTGCCTGGGTAAAATATCCGTGTGCCTTTGAGTCAATCTTGACTCCTGGCAATCACATGGATAAGTCCCTGCCTGTAGTTGTTGAAACATAAATTTATTAAAGCAATCCAAGCGATCTACAAGAAACAATCAGCAAGGGATACTTATAAATGGAGATTATACAGAGAGCTTTGATATTAAAAAAGGCACGAGACAGGGATGTCCACTCTCACCCCTGCTATTTATTTTTACTCTGGAGGTATTGACTAGAAACATCAGGCAAGACATAGAAATTAAAGGTCTTGAGATTAAAGACCAGAAATATAAATTACAGGCTTTCGCGGGCGATCTGGTCTTTATCTTAGAGGAGCCTTTGGAAACAGCCCCTAAACTTTTGTGGAAAATTGAGAAATTTGGAGAAGTGGCTGGATTGAAAATAAATAGGGAAAAAACTAAGGTGTTAACAAAAAAATTAACTGATAAACAGAAAACTCAACTCGCCAAAAAGACAAATCTTCAAATAGTTAAAAAAGTTAAATATTTAGGTATCTATCTTACAGCAAAATATTCATTACTAAAAGAAGATAACTATGAGAGACTAATAAAATAAATAAAAGTCAACCTGGATAACCGTTTTCTTGGCAAAATTTTGGAAGTGGTTTGCCATGCCTAAGGCAAGACTCAAAGTTATGGTCTTCCAGTTTCTAGCCTAATCCTTCAACCACAACGTCAAACTGGTTTTCTTCTCACATTAGTTCTCCCCCATCTCACATGATTTTTCTTTTGCCCGTCAAAAGAAAATAACAGTAATTTTTTATTAAACCAGTAACACTTTGCCAGTACCCCCCCAAAAAAAGCAGCTATCTGATTCCGAGATCCATT